TTGCCCCCTGCAGCGCCCTCCGGAACAACTCTCGTCCGCCCGATCCTCCTCCGATGCCCGCTCGAGCCCCCGAAACCGGACCCCCCTCTAACTCCCCGCCCGCACTCCCTCCGACGCCGGTGGAATCTCGCTTATTCCGGCTGACAAAAGCAAAAGATAGTCCGCTCAGCCTAATCTAAAGCTCTGAAGATACTTTCCTTTGTTTGCTTTGGCCCGCCTCAGCTTTCCGCATGACCATGTCCTCAGCAGCAGCAACTGCTGAGACCCGCAGCCACCCCCTCGCCTATATAAGCTCCACAACGTGTACGAGAGGACCTGTGTTTGGTGGAAATGTTGCTTCATCGCTGCGAAGCAGAGCTCAATTGGATTGAGCTCTGGGCAGTATGGAGGTAAGTACACTAGCAATACTCCAGCTTCGTCACATAATTGCTTAACCCTGGGGCCTTGGTGGATGCAAGCGTTATCACAGACCAGTATAGAATTGGTGCCTGGATATCTGTTCATCTGGGGTAACTGAGAAATCTGGTCAGTCTTCATTATGAGCAGACAGATTTATCCCAGCATGACATACCAAATCATGCTTCAAGAAGTGTTGGAACTTCTTAGCATTGAATGTATCAGCTTGGACTGACAATGCCAAGGGTCCAAAGATACTGATGGCCGGTAAAATACTGAGACGTTCCGGGTTCTGCCGAATAATGAGTCAATGGGAAGGTGTCCCGCGCGTAGATCTAGGAAAGGTGCAAAGTAGCTCACGGTCACAGACCACACTCTTGTCTTGAACGGAATACCATGATTAGACATGTGACCCAAATGAGGAGAAAAATGAAAGATGACATACCTGTGAAAACCAGGAATTCTGCAGGCACATCCCTCATCTTCTCCACCCACGAGTATTTTGCGACTAGGAATTTTTTAATGTTAATTGTGTCGGCCTTCTTCAGAGTTATGGAGAGGCAATTTACAAGGTTGTTGTGAATTGCTTGCGGACTGAGCAGAGTCTGCTGTTGGTCATAGGTTTTTTTTCGGATTTTGTTTAAACCACTGCGCGAATCTCTTTGTAAAGGGCGAGCCAGTGACCAAGGGACTGGCAAGAAATCAAGTAGCCAAGGATGTTGCATATTGCAACCCAGGAGTGTCCATGCAGAGCCATTCGGACCACTGCTACCTTTGTTGCAGGAGCATATGAAATGTAAACCATTCTGGAAGAGGATGGTACCAGCAAGGGTGGCGGGGGCGGAACTTCCTGTGTACAGGAGGGGATGCGTCATGGGTGGAACCCTCTGTACCGGACTGGGTAGATGCTGCATGGGACCAAAGGTCAATGCACTTTATCAACAAGGGTAATGCAGGCTGAGCGGCGAGGTATCAACAGGCCTGGTGGATCATGCTGGAAAATCCGGCCAATGTCGGCACAGCAAATGCATGAAATGTTAAAAAAAAAAACTTAGAATACATTGAAACGGTATCCTCCAAAAATTTTTTTGACAAAATCATACAGACCATTCGAGAATTACAATAAGTTCCAAAGAAGCCGATGTAAAAGCAGCTCTTACAGCGGCCCCAATAGCAGCATCTGGATTGGGTGAGCCGTATAACAGATGTCAGCATGGACTTTGGAGTCGCCGGGGATTGAACCCGGGACCTCGTCAAGTTCTCTGGTACCTTGACGGTGCCATTGCAAATGACGCGTGATAGCCACTACACTACAACCCCCTGCGAACCGGGGAAATTGACAATTCTATAACTCGTCAAATCTTGATTCACAAACATCTCCTCGGGGGAGAAATTGATGAACGTCAGAATTTACAAGTAGAATTGACTGGCCTGAAGACTTGTTATCAAGGATGCATGAGGTGAAAAATATAGATGGGCTAGAAAAGTGGAATGAGATGAGTTGTAGGGTAAAGAGGAAGCAAGTTATGCGGTGGGATATACGAGCAATCAACCCATCCCAGCCCATTCAAGACTTAAGAACTGAACGGATTGGGTGCGTTCGTCCCAGCATGCTAGCAGATGTGCTTTTTTAACAGCGGTAGCTAGTCGTCCATAAGATACCAGCGATAAGGGAGCGATTGGCTGTTGAGGATCTTGGACTACCGTGCAGGCGAAATGAGAATGAAATCGCAGCGAGTCACCTGAATGTACGAGTACTCGAGAAATCAATCCCTCTCCAATGTGCTTTTTTGGTTGTGCTGCAGGTCAGTAAGAGGATTGTGAGAGAGTGTGTGTGCTGACCAGGATAGACAAGAAAGTCGCATCCGAATTTGAGCCCGATACCCAAGAACATTCCTTGTCTCCAAAGTGCTGAAAAGACTGCACATCTGGCCTTCTGGTATTTACCATTAGGGTAGGTCCAGATCCCTGCCTCGCGGGCAGAGTCAAGGTGGTGAAATAGGTTTGGGCCCTCGGGCGAGTGAGTTGGGGGTTGGGATTGCAGATGAATGGGGACGAAGTAAGCGACCTTGGAAGTGTCGTTGGTAGTTTTGCTATCATCAGTACTATCCGGCGGAAGCATTCCTTGCTGGATTTCGGCTGTATGATCAAATTCTTGGTCAATCTGATGTGCTTGTTGTTGACGGGCCCGTCGCTTCTGATCTGCGGCTTCGATCTGAGTCCGGTACACTTCTTTGGCAGCATTTCGTCGCTCGCTGTCCCGAATTACTGTCAATCGACGTTCCTCTTCGATCTCTTGCTCTCGTTTGATCTTGTATTCGGCAGACTCTTCCAGCGTCGCTGGCCTATGCGAATTCAGATCATCTATGAGAACCGCAATACCTACAGAGAAAATTGATTGATCAGTCAAATAGACACCAAGATGATTAAACATGACCAGAGGAAAGAAACCGCGGGGTACCCAATTCCACTAGTACAACGACTTCTTCTGGCAAAAGTTGTAAGGGCAATCCAAGAAACACGTTCTGTTGGGCCAGCTGGGGTAAAGTGCCGGTGAGGAGACCGGAGATATGATAATCTATCCTCAACCGTTCGACCTCTATCCTAAAACGAACAAAACAGATCGACATCATCGGTCCAGATTTAAAACAATTGAGAAGGATACCTGTGAGAGATAGATATTCTGATCGGGAGTGCTGGTCTACGAACGGTCAACTGCCCAGATGTATGCCTTCCCATTCGAGACATAAATCGGGATCGGTTCACCGATAGGCGATGTTGCAGGCTTCCTTCTCAATGATAGCACAGATGCTGTGGCGGAACTGGTTTCCATTTCTGAACGATGTTCTATGATCCTGTTCTGGTTCAAAAAGCATCAACATTCAAATCAGCCACGGATCAACAGAAGCCCAGAAATTGATGACTGAGTCGGACCAACAGCAGGAAAATTGATACACAAACCCTGAATGTTTCGCGGTCGATATTGTCCAATCCAATTCTTGTTTTTTCGTCTGGGGACCGATCGGAACAGCAGCCAGCCAGATCTGAGGCGCAGCCACTACGCATCATGGACACCATTTCAAGTGTCCTACTGTCGAGCGTTATCCCGTGGGGTTGTAGTGTAGTGGCTATCACGCGTCATTTGCAAGGGTCCACTGATGGAAGTACTAAAAACTTGACGAGGTCCCGGGTTCAATCCCCGGCAGCTCCAATTGTTTTGGCCTCGACCGCTACTCGGCCGCAGCGGATTGTGTGTCAGCAGGCTGGAGGGAAAGCGGATGGCCATTCCATTATGTCCTCACTCCCTGTGCCATGATAATTGATTGAATTCCACGAAGTGGCTGCTGATGGAAGTGACTTAATTTTTCGGATGAGTTTGTTTTCATATATATTATAGTGAGGGGTTTCAACATAGGTCCAGGTGGGATCTCAGGTGAAGAAATCAGGAATCCCAACCCCTGCCATAAGAAATGTCAGCCTACCTGATGCCAAGGAAGATTCCTTCTAGCTACAGGAGGAGCAAAATGGTCCAAGAACTTTTGGAGAGGGCTCCTTTGGGCAGTTCTGGACGAGTGGAAATGGTATGGGTATGAATATCCAGG